AGATGTTTACAAAGACATTTTGTTTTTTATCGGCCGAAAATCTTGGGGGCGAACTGGTGGGAGTGGATGAGGTAATTAGGCAGGCAGCTTGTTGCCTGTGTATAACAGATCTTGGGTAAATATAAGCGGCGTACGTGAAGTGTTAGTCAAATCCGTAGAACCCCCCCAAAAAGCAGCTCATACCACAGGGACATTTACGTGACAAATTGAACGGTTGAGGCTGGGCAGCTGCCAAAGTGCCAGGATGCCAGGATGCGAGGATGCCAGGATGCGAGGATGCCAGGATGCCGGGGCAACTGTCATGCAAATTGAAAATGTCAAATGCAAACAGTGGAACTGGAGCGGGCAGACAGTTCAACTGTCAGACCGCACACACAACACCCACCCAACCAGCCATCCATCCACGCCCCCAAAAGTGGGTGGCACCACCCACCACCCACCACCACTCCAAACACTTTTAGCCACCCATAGACGCACAGAACCAAGTCGTTACGTGTGTTTGTGTGCAGATATAACAGTTTCAAGGTCACACACTGGGATTTTCGGGGGGGGCGACAGTGGATAGTGGCCTTTGGCCATGAGACAAATGCGGACGGGAGGAGTTAACTAACACACGGACATGTGTGCTGCTCGGCAATTTCAAGTGCAAATATTGTATTTGAAAAAAGAAAAACACCATGCAATTAAAAGGCAATTTTGCCGTTACCCACACACTGCAGGCGATTACCAAACACACAGGAACGGAGAAAAAACAGCAAATAAAAGTTAATTACATCAAAACGATGTGGAACTTCCCCAAGGATCTAAATTTAGAAAGAGTATAGCTAAACAAATGTGACAAGATTTACTCCTTTTTTGTTTTAAATTATAAGAAAAATTAAATTATAAGTAATTTGATTGATTTCTGGCTAATGTTTTATAAAAACAAGTTTAAAAAATTAAATAAAGAAACACCTTACAAATCAAAATTATTGACTTCTAAAATTGAATATGTAACTCTATTATAAATATTTGAAACCACAACGTGATTAATTTTGATGAATATGGTTTTAATTTTCAGATCAACTATTAACCTCATTTATCATAGGATAACTGGTCATTTTTTGGCTGGTAAATTAAAGTCAATTTAGTGGGTCTAACCATGCTGGTTGGACTTCCAACCATTTTATCGCTCCAATGGAAACTTTAAACTGTTGACAGTCTGTTTGTTTAGGGCCATGAACACGTCTTTGGCTTTGCCGCCTCTTTGCGGGGCGAAAGTAAATATTGGGATTCGACTAGATAGTGAGGAGAAGGGGAAAAGGGGGACGATAGAACAAAGGGCGGTCCAGAATCGGAGTGGCATCTGATAGTGACGTATACTCCAATGGGGCTCTTCTTCAGCACTCTCCCTTCAGGGTCATGTGTGTGTTTGGCAGTTGTTGGAGGAATCCGGACAGCAGAAATATAAATTTAATCAAGTGGCCATCGTTTATTTCCCTTTTGATTTCGACAAATTCAATTGACATTCGATTTTATTATCTCCGCTCCCCAGACCCAATGCCGTACAATTACTACACGCTTTGTAAATGCATTTCATAAATTTATGATGCCAGCAGATGACCATTTCCTCAAGGGATTGCCATCGCCGGGGATGAGTAATAAATACGATTCCGCCTGTTTATCCGTTGTTGTGCCAGTATTTGTATTGGCAAATATTTCATATATCATCGTTTTTCACATAGCAAAGATATCTCATTTTATATATCACATTTTGCCATTTCAAGCTGGAATTTCTGTGGTATTTTCGTTGGCGAGAGAGTTCTTTGGAACCAGGACCCATTGAGGTTTCTCAATGTTTGTGAGGACAACAGCTTACTGCCGTCCTGACCACGGCACATAGATTTTAATTAAGTCCACTTTCCCCCAATTTAATATTTACAGAGATGGTGTTAAGCATGAAAACTTTGCTCCATGGTGGGAGTAGTCTCCCTATGAAAAGTAGGGGGTTCCAAACTCCCCAAAAATTAAAGTTCAAGTGGCAAGTAGCGCAAAGTTTTTCCTTTCCGCTGACCAAGTTTACAGGGGCAGCTCCTTAGCGTTTTAAGAAAAGCCAAAGTAACCAACAACATCATAAGGTTGAAATGAAAAGTGTTTTCCCAACTTAAGAGAGTGGCACAGTGGGTCAAAGAGAGAATGCTACTCACTCTCTGGGGCTAAAAACTTTCGGAGTCAGTCCGAAAACGAAATGAATTTTGCGCCCACAAGTGGTTGCCTACCTAAAAAATAGAGTGTGGGTGAGATTTGAGCAGAAATGGGAGGAGTTTGAGTAAGTGCATCTTTAAACTTCGGGACTCAAACTAAAGCCATGCCTAGAAAGGCTTGGATCTGACAGAGCGCAATTTAACTAACTTTGCCTTGACTAAGTTTTAATATGTTAAGAAATTCAAAGAATTCTTAGCCAATTTAATTGGCATTTCAATAATCAGTTTGAGATGAAAGCAGAGTATAAGGTAAACCAAAGGGTAAGGTTAATCTCTATGAACACAAGGATACGCGGTTGACATCACAACCCACATGAGCACTTTGCCTTGGGTTATGCACTGAGAAAAAAGTTTAAAAAAATTAAAACTTTTGAAGATAGTTATTGGTGTACCTTAATTTGGTTGGTTATTTTTAAAAAGGCATGAATAGCTTAAATTGTAGTTCAAATATGTATATAAATTTACATATGAAATGAATACCTTTATTTTCAATTCCAAACTTGAAAAGTTTTTGTTTTCAAAAGTGATAATCAAAATGTTGTGAAATTTAGGACTCTAAATCATTTCTGTGGTACAAATATAGTAAGCCAATTTAATTTGGAAAACTTTAAAAAATGAGCCGTATAAAACCCAAATTACGATGGTATTTTTGCTCTGTAGGCCATATTTGCCCACATAGTCACCGTAGACACCGCCAACGTCTACACAGCAACTACAACAATGGGCAGCTTGACAGACAGAAGCGAGAAGCTGTGTATGGTGTGGGGAGGGGTGGTGAGGGGGGTTTAACGGGTGCGGGGTGAATCCGCTTTTGTTTATCTACTTTAAACTAACATCAGGCACTTTTGCTATCTAATCCTGACCAACCCGACAGCTACTTAATGTCATCAGTGTGCCACTCGCTGGCATTTTCAACAAGGACATTTGGAAGTGCACAACGATTCGGGAGGAAGAAGTGGGTGGATGGGTCTAGGTATTATGTTGAGAACAGAGGTCGACGACGCTAAACGTTTTCCATCGAGCTCAGATTCACCGAGTGCAAATTGAATAATCGTTTGCGCTTCGCCGCATCTACAAAAAGGACCTTTTAAAAGTTCCCTTTGTTCCTCTGTGTTTGTGTGTGACAAATATCGATCATCAAGGACGGCTGATGGACAACTTAGACGCACAATTGTTTGGGTTTATTCTTATGCTCCGCAAAACTTCTGACCGAGTTGTCTGAAGAGTTTTCCTTTGCGATTTTCCTTTTTGCATGCAAAAAACTTTGGCCGTCCCTGTTTTGTCAAGTTTGTCATTTGTTGGACATTTATAAGCAAATCCAGATTCGGGTTCGGTGTGGGTGTGGATGTGAATGTGGATGTGGGTGTGGGAGTGGAATAGAACCTGCTCGTGGACCATGGACTGCGGGTCTCGTTAGCATACATTGAAAGCGGGTTTGGTTTTGTTACCGAACTCTCGAGTAAATGAAATTGAATGCCCATCCCAAGGAATTCAACTCAACTGTGAGGGCTTTAAAAAGTATTTGCAAGTTCAGAAGTAGCAGCAGAATATTTAATTCATTTGGGAAGTGCTCAAGCGTTATTGGACTCGACTCGAGGAGGGCCAAAGTTATGGATTAAGAACGTTAAATGGTTATTTGTCGTTTAAGACGCTTGTTCGTTAGCTTGATGGTTGTTAAATAATGGAGTTATTAAATAATTAAGTTTATTTAATGGGTATTGAATATTGTTAATGATATTTAAAAACCATCTCAACTAATAGGACTTACACTTTGATATTTTCTAAAGTACCATAAGAAAGTATAATTGAAACAAACTGAAGTTATTTGTTATATCCAGTTCACTGAAATGTTAACTATAGATATAAGAACTTCCAATGATAAATGATATTCAACTAAATAATTTAAATGCCATAAAGCTGAACTTATAAACCAACTATTTTTAGATAGCTTAAATCCTACAATTTACTTACGAAGATATTGTGCATTATTTTGAAGTTCATTATGATGGTTAATTGTGCAAGCCACTCTGCTTTTTGTTTTCACTCCGGATAAGTTGCACAACATTTTTTCGCGCTTAAAACTTTGATCCCCTGCTCAAACGCTGAGCACTTTTCACTTAGTGGAAACTTTAGCCAACAATAAACCAAATACCAGGACCAATGTGTGCGTTGAGCTCTTCGAATTTGTCTTAGATCAATTCCCAAAGGCTCGAGGATTCTTGGGCGAGAGTTGGCAAATTCAAAGGCAAAGGCAAACAGCGAGGACTTAACTTTCGCCGGATGCCATTGAGACTACTAGGAGCCTTGGGCGCTGGCCTTTTCCGCTCAAGTTGAAGGCAGGTGGAATAGTCGCACGGGGCACCGGCATCTGTGCACCATGGCCATTGAGCTACAAAGACGCAAATATGTGCATAGCATTTAACGAGTGGCCATCCCTTCTGGTCGGACATTCGGGTGCACGTGTGGATAAAATTCAATTTCGAGCCATTGACAAACAAACGTGATGAATTCCGGTACTGAGGATATATCCGGGAATTAATGTGAGCCTGTCGAAGGTCGCTCCCTCGTTTAAACCATTCATTGAGGACCTCCTCAATGCTTTTGTGAATTTTATGTGGTCATAAATCGCCAGCATAGCTGTCTCTCTATCGCAATCCTTTGCTTGTCCTGTAAGCCGGCGTGTATTTATGGGCAAAAGATACATAGATACTCTGCTGGTTCGTTCGCACATACTCCATAAAAAAGAAACGAACGGTGTCGATTGTTTTCCAATTTGTGTAATTTGTTGTTTATTTTGTTTATAACTACATCAATAAATTATGTATCGTATCGTATAATTCATAATTATACTCTTTGAAAGCGTGAGAACATACTGGAATTGCAATTCGGCAGCTGGGTTCCTGATTCTGGTTCTAATTCATTTCAAAGTGGTCATCTGCGGATTCTCCACTGGTGATACCAGGTCTAGTAGCTTCGTTCGGAAGTCTGGGCGATTTTCAAAGAGTATATGCGGTAAGTATTTTCGAAACATCGGCCAGCCGAAGATGGTTGAATTTGCATTTATGTTATGATTAACTTGATGACAACATCGAAGATCGATTGTGGGTTACTACTAAGAACCGTCTCTCATTCTCATTTAATTCTCCTTCAACTTGGACACGTTTAGTTTAATTTTAGATTGATATCTGCTTGCTAGCTGGCTAGGCTCTCTAGTTACAATAATGTCTGCTCAAGTTACAATAATATTCATACCTAATTCTTTAATTTCTTAGTTCGCGCAGCGTAAATCGTGTTTGCAATAGCTTTCTCAGATTGGCTGGGGGATTGGTTAGTATCTGTTTGTGGATTAGTTTGGTTTGGGTGCGTGTGTGGTTGTGGTTTCGTGGTGCGTGGTGTGGTGCGGAGAACCGAATTAATAAGGCCACTTATCCATATATATGTGTGTACGTACTCGTATATAGTCAATAGTCAGTTATGCACACATCCCCTGCCATCCGATTGCCAAGGACACTGGGCCCTACACTTCGCATTTCTGATAATCCCGCGCTTTAGCTTCACTACCGCTCCGGGTCGAAACGTATCTATTGAAAAAATCGCTTTAACATCTAGCCTTAACTAAAGTGGCCTCTAGGTATTTATGCTTGTGTTAAGAGTGGGTGAGAAAAATTCCATAAATTTTGTGTGGCTCTAGTATTGATAAGTGTGCCAAATTTGGTGTGTTTCTGTGTCTTGAATATTTTATCTATCCGATAAAGCTGCAATTATTTTGCGCTTGCGCTAGTATTTAATGTTGAACAATACTTTTTTGTTAGTGGCGGCTACTTTTAATTATAATTATATGCATATTAGTTCCGATTCGGGGCTAAGGATTCGTTTCACTTGTGGTTGTTGCTGGTAGTGCATTCGCTTTTCTATTTCAGGTTACGGTTTAATGGTTACTAATGCCATTTCAAATTGTTCATGTCGATCACTAAGCCAAGGATAAACTAATTAACTACGTTCTCATTATTGTTATGTTCAGCTCAAGTTTCTGCATCCATGTACATTTACATATGCTAATAAAAATCCATCTGCGGTCCCTCACAAGCCCATCGAAACAACGATAGGGCGATTAAGCGAGTGAGGCACCGGTCGATGGATCGACTCCAGTTCATTTAACTATGTACGCTAAATAAATGTATATTTGCCGATTCGCCTCTTGGCTAAATGTACAGTAACAGATATTGGCCTATATTATAGGTTTGTATGCGGCACTCGCTTTCACTTTACTCTCGCTTTCTTATGCGTCGCTTCGACTAAACTGAATAATGGGATCGAGCACAATCGACCCTATGTACAGGATTCGTGGGGACGTGTTCGTGTAGGCGGTAATACATTGTATAATTTCATATGTAGCAACAAAAATAGTCTAATTGTCGATGTAAAACACAGGAAATAAATTAAGCGCTGGTGTGTGTACAACTAAATCGAATGGTTATTCATTAACTTTAAACGTAACTCGAGTTAGCTGGAGAACGGAGATTAGCGACTGCTGGTCTAGAGACTGGTTGCTTGGCTGGCTGGCTGGCTGGCTGGCTGGCTTTCTGGCTGCTGATGCTGATGCTTTAGTGGTTGCTGAAGTAAAAGTTGTTGTTGCGTATGTTGCCACGGGTTCGCCAGCGGATGCAGCTGAGCAGGGCCACGCGTGCTGCACGCAGCAGGATCTGGCCGTAGGCACAGCAAGCGCAGATGCGCCTCACCCGCTCGGCCAGGTTGCGGCGCCGACAGCGACGGGCGGGACGATGCCAGCGGGGCAAGTCCTGCCGGCGACGCCGTCACTTGCGGCGTTGGAAGACGCGCCGAAGCGCCTTGCGCCAAAAAAAGCGTTGCGACTTGGTCTTTGTATGCAACTGTGGCTCCTCCAACTGGGCAAGGGGCACATCAAAGTCCTCCACCAAGTCCACGTCCTCCTCTGGGGCGATGCGTCGACGTGTGGGTGTGGCTGGCGCTGTGCGGGCCGAGTTGGTGGCCATGGAAACATGGGGCTGTGGTGTGGGTGGTGCTGAGGCTGTGGTCACGAAGGGCGCAACCAGATAGGGACGGGCCTTCAACGCCGCCATTGCCGCCGCCGAGGTGGAAGCGATTGATGAAATGGAAGCCAAAGTAGCCACCGATGCCGAAGATTCCACATAGCCTCCGCTTACTGCTCTTTCCGCCGTTGCCGCCGGCGATCCTGCTGTCAGTGATCTTGCTCCTGCTGCCGCTACCGCTCCATCTGCTGTTGCTGGCTGGGTGGCACGCAGCCAACAACCAGGTTGCATCGTATCTTATCTAAGCCACGGGTGCTGCAGACACTCCGCGGCGGTGGCCCGCTTGGCCGGGTCGAATTCCAGCATGGGCTTGAGGAACGAGGCAAACGACTCCGCCTCGCTGTGCGACCACTCGTACTTCTCCAGCAGAACATCCATCAGGCCCCAGGGCTTCAGGCCGTTGATGTTCCGAAGCTCCCCGCCTCGGTTGAACGACTGCTGGGCATAGGTGCCGCGGAACACAATGTGACGCGGTATGGGACCCAGCAGCTCGATGATGTGGGCCAGATGGTCCTCGTCGCGGGAGTAGGTGTCGCCGGAGTGCGGCTCAAACAGATAGTCGCCGGTGGCCAGCTCGAACACCATGCACGCAGTACTCCAAATGTCCGCCGAGGTGTCATAGCCGGAGCCGAGGATCACCTCCAGCGATCGATACTGACGTGTCTGGATGTCCTCGGTGAAGTGACGATCCACCCAGCAGGCATTGCCCAAATCGGCGATCTTTACATAGACGCTGCATTCCTCCAGCGCCGGATCACGCCTTGCCCTGTGCTTTGCTTGCGGTGGCGGAGGAGGTGGTGGCAGCATGGCCTCCGAGTACGGTCCATTGGTGGCCGACGACGAGTTCTCCACGGAGCCGCTTGAGATTTTCGAATTGCTATTCGAGTTGGGCTTAGAGCTGGAGTTGTTGTTGTTCAGCTGCTGATTCGATGACTGCTGCTGCTTTTCCACTTGCTTCTCCTGCTTCGGTCGCAACGGCATCTTCTTGCCGTTTGATTGTCCTTTTAGAGTGCCGCTCGAGTTGCTGTTGGTGTTGGAGTTGCTGTTGCTGATATTACTGCTGCCATTTAGCTGGTGGCTCTTGAGGGCGCTGCTGCTGTCGCCGCTGCTCGTCGAGTTCTCCAGCTGTGGAGGCTGCTGAGCTTGCGGTTGGTTGGATTTGTCTAAATAAAGAATATTTACGTATTAAAAACCAAATTCGTTTTTCTTTCTCAAGTGGGTAAGAGGTTAAAAAACTTATGAAAGGAAAAATAAAATGAAAAAATGAATCTTTTCATTAAGGGATTATAGGTCGAGTTTTGTGGGTATTCTACATTATTGCATTAATAACTTCTTTCGTCAAACTTTAACTTATAAGCCTGTTTAATTGGGATCAAACATATTTTCGGATGACTTTAACCACATACTTTTCAAATATTTTGCGGTTATGGGATTGCAAGCATGTGTGAACACATTTTCTTTCTAAGCTCAATCTTTACTTACTTTTGTTCTTCTTTTTCTTCTTCTTTTTGGCTTTGTCAGCGCCCTCAGTTTGTTGTTCCAGCTGCTGGGTCTGTTCCTTGCGCTCCGGACGCTGCTTACGCTCGTGCCTCTCCTTTCGCACTGGCTGCGCAGCAACCACATCCTCGTCATCGTCGCCGTCATTGTCTTCCGGCTCCTGCTTCACATCCAAGTACTCATCCCCATCGGAGATGCCAGCATCGCCGTTCTGCACCTCATTATGATTGACGCCAAAGTCCGTCTGATCCTCGCCAGCATCCTGGCCCTCGGCCGCCTGACCTCCCGCCTGCTCCAGGTAGTCACGCTGCTTCTTAAACAGCTCCATGCGTTTCTTGGCCTTCTTCTTGAGCTTCTTCTTTCGGTTCTTGCTCATTTTGCCTGTGATGGGTGGCTCCCGGTACTCCTTGGGCGCCCGGCTCACAAGCGATGGATACATCTTGGAGTTCATGCAGTACAACTGGGTCGCTTCGGTGGCAAGCGACCGGACATGCGGCTCGTCCACGCACAGCAGCACGTTCTCGGGCTTAATATCCGTATGGATGATCTTGCAGCAGGTGTGCAGATAGTCCAGACCCTCCAGCACCTGGCGGGTGATGGTCTTTACGTTACTCAACGGTATGCCGCGATAGTTGGACTTGCGGATGAGCTTCAGCAGATTGTCTCCGAGCACCTCGAACACCATACAAATATGGGTGCCATTAACGCCGGTGATCTTGAAATCGTCGAGCATCTGAACGGTCTTTTGCCGGCGTGGGTTCGATGGATCCGTCTCTCGCACCGTCCTGAGTATCTTGATCTCGTCCTTGGCCGTCTCGGCAAAGTGCGGTGCCGACTTCACAATCTTGATGGCCACATAGCTCTTCTCCTGCAAATCCCAACACAGCCAGACGGTCGAGAAATGGCCCCAGCCCAATTTTCGGATGACGTGGTAGCGACCTGCAGAACAAAAATTGCATTAATCTCTTGCTCTTCTCGTCAAAAGGCAAAGTTCAAGGGTTTGGGGGAGAGTAACACAGAACCACTTAAGAAAATGAAATCGCAAATGTTCGCCTCGGATGGCAACAAATCCATTTTAATCGCATCACTGTCAAATCACGACTGACCCAACGAATAGCCGACCGCGAGGGCTACTACCCGCTCGAATTCAATTAAAATCCGGGAGTGAATGCAGTTGAGTGCGTTTTTTTCGCGGTGCCTTCTTCGGAATCACAGCCTAAGGGCTTGTAAGATGCCGAAAAACTGGCTTCATGCTAGAACTCTCATAACTTTGTTGAAATTGCATTAGCGAACAGGGATTGCTCATAGTAGACGTAGACTACAAGCTTTTTAGTGTTCAAAAATAGGTCAATCTTGTCCTAAGTCGGTATTAATTAACATTTGGCTTGTTCTGAGTTTCAATTAAAGCCACTGAAATATACGTAAGGCTGATGATTAAAAGTTTAGCCTACTAAATTAAGAATGTTTTTTTTTTTAACTCAACTAGGAAATGTAAATAAACTAAGTTATCCCTAACATTGAACACAGCAAATTTATAATCATCAAACTTATTCTACCGATTATTAAGTATACTAGAAACCTAGTAAGATTCTATTAATAAACATTCCTTTTATAAATCCGCATGGATTGCATAAAACGACCAAGAGAGAGGGGCAGAATACTTGGTCGATTCGAGTTATAATATGCAGCATTATCAGGCGATTTTGCGGAGCTTGGTCGGTCGTTATCAGGTTCTCATTGTGTTATCGCTGCCAAGCGATTTCTCGGATTTTCTTTTTCGAAAAGCTGCAGAGCCTGCAAATGGATTTGGAAGGCGGAGAGCTGGCAAGCTGGCAGCTGGCGTTGTGAAATGGGTGGAGAAAACATGCTAACAACGGGGTGGAGTTCCGGGTTTATGTTGGCGACAACGTTTGGAGGTGACAGCTCGCCCCCAAATGCTTTGCTGTTGCTATTGTTGTCGTCGCCACAACACGAGGAGGCGGCGCCTCCTTCCTCCCCGAAAAAACAACCCTTGCCCAAAAGGGGCAACGTGGTGTAGAACCACCCGCTGTGCGTTCGATTTATCTGTGCTGTGCGCCTTTGACAACCTGTTGTTGTTGCTGCTGCTGCTGGTTTTTTTCGGGTCGGTAAATGCCAATATGTGGGAGTGCTAACAGGTGCCTTACCCTGAAACAGGTCACCGATGTTGACGGGGTGGTAGCCACCCTTGCAGTAGTCCTCCTTGAGCTCCTGCTCCTCGTTCTCGCTGTTCAGCTCTGATTCGTAGGACTCGTTGGAGCTGCTTCGCGGTGGCTGCTGCAGGTGCTCCTTCTGTGAGTTGCTCTTGGACTTCGGCTGCGGCTGGGGTGGCTGATATTGATCGGGAGTGCCTCCCGATCCTCCGCTGGACGTGGAGGCCGTTGCTGTTGCATTAACCTTGCTGAAGGCAGCCGAAATTGGCACATCCCCATGGCTATTATTAGCATTATCCGGTGCCTGCAAGTTCTCGCTGCTCCGATTCGGTTGGGAATTTGGATTGGGATTGGGATTCTGGCTGGCATTCGGTTGCTGATCCTGGGGTCCAGTGCCGTTCTGCTTGCCCCGCTTCTTGTTGTTCTTATGACGTTTCTTCTTCGCCTGAATGGCCAGAACGCGGCGGTTGACGTCAGCCTTGTTCATTTCGCTGCTGCTGGTTGCTTCTATTTTACTATTATACCCTTTATTTCCGGCCAGGTGTAACAGCTGTTGTGTGCGGCGAAGAAGGGGTAGAGTAAGAGAGAAGAAAAGTGGTTAGGGGAAGGCTGATAAATATGGAAATAATAGGGGAGTAGGGAGTAGGGAGTAGAGAGCAGAAACAGAACAGACAGCAACGTGCACAAATCTCAAAAAGGCAATGTTCGAGGTTCACGTTGTTTTTCTTGCTTTTGTTGTTTTCTCTGCCCTGTTTTTCGGTTGTTAGTTTCACGGGCCTCTCTATTCACCGCAAATACGGCAAAAACAGAGCTACAAAACCAGCTTAAACATCAGCTAATTGAGTACTTGCCTCGGGCTCCTACTTGTTTCCAATTAACACGGCTGCTGCTTCGATTTCTGCACAAAATTAGCACAAAAAATCTTCGCTAAACGCCAAATCCCAAAACTCGATTCCAGTGTGACTGCACCGCGAACGTTACAAAATACCATTGGGCTCTGCAAAAGAAACTGGAAGAAACTAGGAATCAGTGATGCCACAATGGCTTATTGTAAATTGGTTGAAAAAATAGATGACGAAAAAACGTAATGAACTTATGTTTAAATTTTAACAATGCTATTAACATTTTTCTTGTTGAATTTTCTTTTGGTAGGTTCCATTAAATTGTTTACAAAAATGAAACAGGACAACCACTAAGGTACTGATAAGCCACTTCAGTTTTAAAATAGCTACAAAATAGCTAGAAGAAGCAGCACTCAAAACAAGGTCTACACTTTAGCCCAGACTCAAACCGTCGTAAAGAACACTAATAACGTAACGTAAGCACACTACGCTTTTAGATTATGTTATCCCTCTCGCACGCTGCAGCATTATATGCCGCCCCGCTCGCACTTATTAGTACTCAATTTGCTTAGCATTTTTGCGCAGCGTTCGCATTGCTAAAGGCTCCCAAAAATGCAGTTTCCCCCGACTCACCTGGCTTCGCAAGTGGCCGCAGACTAGGCCAATAGCATCTCGATTCGCCGGCGTTGTTCAGCTGCCGCAAATGCAGCTGAAACGAGCAAAAAACACGCGCACAACGAAAATCCGCAAGTGGAAAAAACTGCTACGGAAAAAGCAACTCTGCTAGCGAGCAGTGTTGCAAGGCGACGGACGCAAACAGCTGATTGGCTAGTGTTGTTGGGCGATCGGATTTGGTGACTTACAGCACTAGTGGCGTTTTGGCGCAATTTTAGGTTTTGGAGGGAAACTGCATCTAGTGAAAAATCGTGGCCAGTTGTAATTTGAGCAGTGCGCTGGCACGACGTGGTGACCGATAAAAGATTTAACAAGAACAGTGATTAATAGTCAGACGTGCCCATTTGCCAACTAAGCAAAGGGTGCTAAAAAACCATATTGCAAACTGCATCTTCAATTAGGCATAAATAAACACAAAAAACAATGGCCCAGCCATCTGTAGCTGCATTTTTCACCAACCGCAAACGCGCCGCTTTGGATGATGCTACCGCTATCAAGAACAGGGTAAGAAATCCGGCCCAGAAACGTGGACAGATACAAAAGTATCTGCAAGTGCCCTTTGCCAGTGCAGCCATCTAAGAATTAGCTTTTATTTTGCAGCGTTTGGCGGAACCCGCCGAAAGTGCCTCTCCCGCTCCCTCACAACAGCCCGCCGGCGACCAGGATGCGGACTTGGACACCCTGAAGGCGGCGGCCAGCGGCATGCGCACCCGATCCGGACGCACTGCCCGCTTGATCGTCACCGCCATCCAGGAGAGCAAAAATAAAAGGACCCCAGGTGGCACAAAAATGGATGCCAACATCAAGCAGCCGAAGCTGGTGCAGTTCATCAAGAAGGGCACTCTATCGCCCAGGAAACAGGCACAGTCCAGCAAGTTGGACGAGGAGGAGCTGCAGCAGTCGTCGACCATCAGTGAGCTGACCCCCAAGTTGAACTTCACCATAACCAACCAGCAGAATGCGGATAATGTGCAGCGCGGCCTGCGCACGCCCACCAAACAGATCCTCAAGCACGCCTCGCCCATTAAGGCCAGCGGAGTGGATCTGCGCCGCCAGCTCACCTTCGATGAAGTCAAGACCAAGGTCTCGAGGAGCGCCAAGCTGCAGGAGCTCAAGGCGGTGCTGGCCAGGAAGGCGGCCCTCGAGCAGAAGCGCAAGGAGCAGGAGGAGCGCAACCGGAAACTCCGAGAGGCTGGCCCCTCCCCCTCGAAGTCCAAGATGAGCGTGCAGCTCAAGGAGTTCGACACCATCGAACTGGAGGTGCTAACAAGGTGAGCTAAAATAATATATTTTATATCACCTAAGAGTTGATTATTTTGATTTATATCTTGTATAATGTTCAAAACCCTGGGCTTCCCCTTTTCTGTTTACTTATTGAAAGTATTTTATATATCCTGTACAATACTTATTATCCTGGTTTTTACGAGAGAATTTTATGGCTTCTTATATATATTGCCATATTCCTACCTTATAAAATAGGAGCATTTCAAAATTATCCTGTATAATACTTGTATCTCACTATCGACATATTGCTTAAAATGATCTTATTAATCATAAACTTTTGATAATTCTAAGAAAAAAAAGAATAGTAAGTAGTTGCTTGAGCCTGGTACTACATGATATTAGTCGTGATTACATGATGATAGCTAAAATAAGATAATGCAATAATTTTTTTTTAATTCGTCATATATATTTAACTTGAGGGAATCCTGAATTTAGTGAATGTAATGCCATCAACATCCTACTTAACATCCTGCATTAGAATAATTAAATCTTGAACCAAGGTAGCTCCATTACAAAGCTCAAGATATGTGCCTGCCACAACAATTTCGATTTGGCTGGCTGGTGGCCTAGAATCGGCATAAACAAACCACGGAGTGTGGAGTGTGGACAATGAAAAAAAACCGGGTAACATCATTTAGCGAAAGGCCAGCAGTTGCTGCCGTGCAGTTCTGCTGCAATCGAGGTCGCTCTCCGGGTCTCCGGGTTATTCAAGCGCTCGACTGCTGAAGTTGCATATTTTCCGCCCAAGACTTAAGTAGTCACCGATGGCTTGGCTTTGGCTTTGGCTATATAGCTATTCTTGTACGAGTACGAGAAATTGCTGCTGATTCGTGACGTCTGTACAACATGCATAAATACTCGACTATCTGGCTGACCCTCCCCATGCGACGCTGTGTGTGTATCGCTATGTGCTATATGTTTACCCTTCGCAGACGTTACAATCTAGCCTGACCTTCCCTTTGAAAATGCTTACTTTCCGCCCACATTCGGGGGTTGCTCTCTCTCTCCCTCGGGCAAATAAGGATCTTAACTGCTGTGCTGCACGGGAATGCGAGTCACCATCGGGATATGTATGTGTTTTGTTTGGGTGTGCCGCTCAGGTAGCAACCTTTTTTCGTAACGGTTTTCTTGAAGAAAGGTTTCCAGGACCAAATAGGAACTATTTTCGAATAGGAACAGCCAGGCGAATTCCCTTTTCCTATGCCAAACCAGTTTTATTGGTACAGGAATTTATGTTTGTTTTGATTTTGCATCTATGGCTTTAGAATTTCTATAGCTAAGATTTAACAAATGACCTAAAATAAACTTTTAATCATATTTGCAATTTGTCCATAGAAGTAATCACCGCTCTGACCCTCGATGATTAAGTAGTTTGTGGACGGCCCCTAAATAAATATGTTTGTTAATGGGCTAACTAACTATTTATTTTCCTATGACTTATTATCTGAAAATGAGATACTCAATCTCAAAACATGTAACCTAAAATCTATTGATATAATATCATAAGATAATAGGAAAATTTCTTAATTTACTAACAAATAATTAAATGTATTATAATTTAATTATTATATTGAATATTATGAGCATTGCTCTATAAAACGAAGTAGTATTAAAATTAAAAAACAACAGGTTTAAAATTAAATGCATCAGATCACTAACGATTTCCCCTATTTCTCTCTTTTAGCCCCCTCAAGACCTTCAAGACACCCACAAAACTACCTCCTCCCACCCCGGACAAACATGAGCTCATGTCGCCGCGTCACACTGACGTCTCCAAGCGTCTGCTCTACAGTCCGGTCAAGAATGGATCACCCGTCAAGCTGGTGGAGGTGCCAGCATACAAGCGATACGCCAATCTGGTGGAGGGATCGCGCGCCGGACAATTGCCATTGCCGTACAAATACCGCCACTTGCTGGACGTGTTCAAGGGACTCGATTCCGTGGTGGCCATGTTCCACAACCGCAAAGAGACCATCACCTACAAGAAGCTGAAGCCGGCGGTGCAGCGCATGCTGCGCAGGAACTTCACGGAGTCCCATTTGGCTCAGATCAGGCACGTCTATCCGGAGGCCTTCATCTTCAGCCAGATGAAGACGCGCAACTTTGGATCCGTATCCAAGGCGGACTATTTCCAACTGGTCATCAGTCCTAATGTGGAACCGCTGCCCGAGCAGGAGCAATCGGAGAAACCACAGCGCTTCGGCAAGATCAACGAGGACGATGTGCTCGCGTCGGCCCAGTCGACGTCCATGAATCCACACGTCATGACGGCTCGCATGCATCGCTTCCAGAGCCTTCTGCTCGATCGGGTGATGCGGGCACATAACCAGTTCTTGCGCTCCCAGGATCCACCGATCATTATCGATAAGGCACTGACCCGCTGGCATCCGCAGTTCGATCTGGAGAGCTGCCCGGAGGTGGAAATGGCCGCGCTGCCACAGCCCCCGAATGTGGAGAAGTACTCCTCGGCCAAGGACATTCTGTCCACGGCTAGGAATCTTTTTAACTGCGCAACGCCCATGGAGCGAGCCATGGATCGCTATGAGGCCAAGTTGGAGGCGGATAAGCAGGCAGCTGAAGACAACAAAAAGACAGAGGAACAGCCGCCAAGAGTGGCCACCAAGACAAGTACTGGAACTCAAGCCATTGAGGAGGTGCCTGGAAATTCAGGAGTTTCAGAAAAGCCAACTTCAACTGAAACCACCGACCAAACAGCAACTGCAAAGCCAACGGTGAAGGAGTGCACTGCCCCAGATGCTGGCTCCAATTTGCTGAAGGGACTGCCCAAGTCGCTGATCGAGAAGATTCGGGCCAAGCAGGCAGCCAAGGCTCTGGAGGCAATGACCCGGCGACCCTCGCAGGATCAGGAGGCCACCAAGTACTCACGTTTGCCGGAACTGGCCAGGCACCTGCGAAATGTTTTCGTCACCGAACGGAAAGGAGTGCTCACCCTGGAAGTAATCATCAAGAAGATCCAGAACAGCTTCCGGGCCAACCTTACACCGCAGGAAATCGAGGCGCACCTTAAGCTCCTGGCCAAGGAGCTGCCCAGCTGGGCATCCTTCCATGAAGTGCGCAAGACCATGTACCTAAAGGTGGCCAAGGACATGGACATGAACAAGATCATCGAGAAGCTGGAGAGTGTGGCGAACGCGAAGAGCAATTAATTCGGATACACGGAAACGCAACCAGGACGCGGGACCCCGTCGAGCAATGACCCTGTGGCTTCATCCAGCTATATCTTTAAGAACTTAATTAACTAGCTAGCCAATACTTTACAAATTAACCAGATTATGCTAAGCTCTTTTTGTTCCCATTATTATGACACTTCCAAATCTATCAAGCACCTTGACAACCAGGATCGGATTCATCACATTTACCCAAGCAATCATTATAACTATACTATTTGGACCAAGCGTTTATACATTTATATTTTGTAGTTTTAAGATCATTTTTCATGTTGTACCACGTTGAATAAATAAATATTTTTGCTGAAAAATAAGATATTTTTAAAGTTAATTGAGAGTTGGAATATGCAGGGAAATCGACCTCGAAATAAAATCTATTTTTTTAGGATTATGTTTTAATTTTTAAATGGGATTTTAGATTACATTTTTTAACTCGATTGTAATTTTATGTCTTAAATTTTACATAATTAATTACACAACGCCCTATAGCAATATTCGACATAAGTTTATTCTACATTTATCTTACCTTACGTTGCAACTAGTTCTTGTTTGGAACTTGTTCCCAAGAGTGTTTGTATCTGGTCACACTTAATCTTAAAACGCGCCACAATCTTTATAAAAGATTGATTTTGTTTATTTATTTAAAAACCATGGACGAAAGCGATCAAATAGTGGATAAGGGTGATGACGCGGAGCTCCCACCACCCACTACCGCGATTTCGGGTCAAATAAAAGCTATTGCCAAGGACACAGTTCACAAAATCTGCTCAGGACAGGTAAACATTATGTTTTTAGTTTGTATATGTTTGTTGATCTTTGTTTTTAACTATTCCAGGTGGTTCTCAGTTTGGCAGTGGCGGTTAAAGAGCTGGTGGAGAACTCCATAGATGCGGGTGCCACTCTGGTGGAGATCAAGCTAAAGGATCAGGGATTGCAAGGTGTGGAGGTCAGCGATAATGGCAGTGGCGTGGAGGAAGTGAATCTGGAGGGCATGAGTAAGTTCTATGATCTTTATAATGCAAGAAAAGATTGGTTATCCTACCTCCTACAGCTGCCAAGTACCACACATCAAAGATAAGGGAATTCGTGGACCTTTTAGGCGTGGAAACTTTTGGGTTCCGTGGCGAAGCTTTAAGTTCACTTTGTGCCTTGTCTGATATGGTTATCCAAACACGGCACGAGTCCACTGAAGTGGGTGAGTCCTAGACAAGGTATTTCTTACCCTTCAGCCCACTAAAAATAGCTCCACATTCCAGGCATTAAGGTGGAGCTCGACCACGATGGCAGGATCAAGAAGCGTTCTCCGTGTGCTCGTGCAGTGGGCACCACTGTAACTCTGGCCAATCTGTTTGCCACTCTGCCCGTTCGACGCCGTGACTTCACCCGTAATATCAAGAAAGAGTTCACCAAAATGTGCCAGATCCTGCAGGCCTACTGTCTAGTCACCAAGGGAGTTCGCATCCTGTGCAGCAATCAAACTCCCAAAGGCGCCAAAACAGTAGTGCTCCAGACGCATGGAAACCAGGAAGTCTTAGCCAATATATCAGCTATATTTGGAGCACGCCAGGCGGCTGATCTGGTGCCCCTGAAGTCGCCGTTCGAGCAGGGTCAGCTGAGCGAGGCGGGATTGCGGGCCGATCTCGAATCCACTGCAGATGCAGCCGATACCACTTGCCCACAAATCAGCTCCGAGGATGTGGAGCGGCTTAACCAAGCCGACTTTCAACTGGAGGGATTCATTTCCAGCTGTCGACATGGCGCTGGCCGCTCTAGCAGAGATCGTCAATACTTCTTCGTCAATTCAAGGCCCTGTGATCCTAAAAATGTAAGACAAAACTATCTTAGGATTTTTTTATAAAATAAAATGAAACCATTCCAGATAGCCAAGGTCATGAACGAGGTGTACCATCGCTATAATGTTCAGCAGCAGCCATTTATATACCTCAATATTGTCACCGCTCGTTCTGATGTGGATGTGAATCTTACGCCCGACAAACGCCAGTTGCTGATCAACAACGAGCGGATTCTACTGCTGGCGCTGAAAAAATCTCTATTGGACACTTTTGGCCAGACTCCAGCTACATTTCAAATGCAAAACACCACCATTGTGAGCATGCTGGAGCCTAAACCGAAGCAGGAGAAAACCGAATCCCCTAAAGAACTGGGCAATGAAGATAAGAACGAGGAAGGCGACGATGAAGATGTTCCTATTAGCTCCTCGCAGAGATTTATGGATGTGCTTACCCAGTGGCGACGGACTGGTGATACGAAAGGTACAGCACCTTCAGTTCCTGTCAAGCGCCGCTGCAGTGAAACTGAAGAGTTGGCCACTCGCTCTATGAAAATGCAGAAGATTCATAATTTTCTCAGTCAAGAGTCGCCGAAAGAACAGAACTCCAAATGCGAATCGGAATCTGAAGGAGCAAGTGATAATGAAAAGATAAAGGAGAACAAGGAACAGGGCTCCCTTGACGATAGTTTCTTGAATCTTAAAGAAATGGCTAAGGAGTCAGAAGGTAAGAACGCCTTAAATAATCCATAATCTTGTAATTAATGTAAATTCCTTGCAGCCTATGATCTTTTGATGAAACCAGCCAAAGAAGCTCGCATTGATTGCAAGGTTCTAACGCCAGTTAAAAGCCGTCGTAGTATTGCTGAATTTAAGCCAGAAACAAAAGCAGCCAAACAGGAGACAATTCCAGAATCTCACCCAGAACCACCCAGCTTATCTCAGTTATCCGAAGAAACCGATATTGGCAGCGAGGATGATGATCACATTGAGCTACCCACTCGTATAGAGTTTGATGAAGAGGTGGAAGAAGGGCCGCCGGAAAATTTTTCAAACGGAGAACTGCGCACCACGCTGGATGAGATTGCGTCCTCTTTAAAGGCCCAGGAGCAGCAGCAGCGGGATCGCAGGGCACGTGCCAAGCTGCAGCGTCTACGTTTCAAGACCGAAATTAATCCGAACCAGAACAGCAACGCGGAGGCCGAGTTGCAGCGGGAGATCAGAAAGGAGGACTTTGCCCGCATGGACATCATAGGACAGTTTAACCTGGGCTTTATCATAGTCAAACTGGAGGACGATCTTTTTATTGTGGATCAGCATGCCACCGATGAAAAATACAACTTTGAGACGCTGCAGCGCTCCACTCAGTTGGAGTATCAGCGCTTGACAGTGCCCCAAAATCTCGAATTGACGGCTGTTAACGAAATGGTGCTTATAGACCACCTGTCTGTGTTCGAAAAGAACGGCTTCAAGTTTGAGATTAATTACGAGGGTACGCTTGAGATTTATATAAAGTTTCTTTACTGAAAATTTCTTCACTTGCAGCTCCTGCCACAAAAAAGGTACAATTGCTGGGCAAGCCACATAGCAAACGATGGGAATTCGGCAAGGAGGACATAGATGAGCTTATTTTCATGCTGCAGGATGCACCTGAAGGCACGATTTGTCGTCCATCTAGGGTACGAGCTATGTTTGCCTCCCGAGCCTGCCGGAAATCTGTCATGATTGGCACTGCCCTAAACAGGACCACCACTATGAGGAGACTTATCACACAAATGGGAGAAATCGACCAGCCTTGGGTATGTAGAAAAATGTGATTTTAAAAATAAGAAAATGTTTAAACAAAAATGTATCTATCAGAATTGTCCACATGGACGTCCCACCATGCGCCATCTCATTAATATAACAATGTTAATGGACAACGACGAAGATGAGGAGGAGACTACTGAAGTCCAACAAAAGTCAGAATGAGTGTCAGATTCAGATAGCTTACAGACCAAAGCATAAAATGCATAATTAATTATTGTTGCGGTTTTTATTTTATTTAACTTTTCTTTTGAGCCACTAAGTATACGTCATTGTTCTGTAAATGCTTACTTGATTAACGATTAAACGACAGGATCAGACTTACAACTAGAGACAAATACAAAGGTTATCACTTGAGTATGTCTAACAAGCTACTCGTTTTGTTGTTTTGTTTAATAACTATTACTAGATCGTACACTAAATATACATATACGGGTACGTTTTATATATAATATTTGAGAGGCTACATACTTTCGGGTATACGTGTGCTATGGCTTAGTTTTGATTACTAAATGCTGCTCATCTTTAGTGACTATTCGTAACTAGAGTCGGCTGAGAAATTCAACGATTTGGCAAACAGTTTACAAGTCCCGCATTCGAATTCAAACGTTTGTCGGTTGTCTTTCGTAATTGGCCATAACTTATTCTATATATATTTTGGCCTACTGCCCCCGATGCACTCGTATCTTACAGCTGTCGTATCGTACACAAACAGTTTCTCCTCAATCGTAAAACTAGAGTTTAGTGTTTAAAACTATAAGTTTGCTAAGCCACAAGTATAATTAATCGCTACATTCTTCCTGTTTAGTGTATAAAATGCATGGCACCCATAGGGAACAGAGTTCGTTGAGCAAGTTACCTTAGAACACAACACTACAGTAACTTAGTGACTATGACTACAGCTACACTTTGATTCAATATTTTCGTCAATTCGATTCCAATTTTCCAGATTTCGTTTCGTTTTTCGTTCGCGTCGTTCATACATTTTGTAAATAAAAGGCAACTCATGAACATTTTTGTTTTCAACCACAAGGGACCAAGGGCCTCACGCTGATTTTCCCATCTCACGTTAACAAACTTTGCAGGTGGTTCAGTTCTTAGGTGTTATATATGTTTGTTGGATAAGTTATCTTTGGAAATAAATAGTGATTTGTCACTGAAAACGGGGTGAAGACAGGTAAAACTGGGAAAAACTTTTAAAAACTCAACAGAGAAAATCAACGCTTAGTGTGTTAGTTTAAATACCTCCTGATTTCGTTTTCTATTCTTATGGAGTTTGGCGAAAGTGGAATTCCCAAAAGATAACTTTCATTAAAGCTTTTTCTCTTAGTCTCTGAAATACTTAAAAAAACATGTTCCTCTTCCGCCAAAATTCTTTTAAATGGAGCTGCGAAACAGGATCGATTTTAGTCCTTTGTTTTAGATCCACAGCGGACCAATGGTTTCCACTATGATGTCCAGCACATCCTGACGCCCCATCTCCTTCAGCGTCAGCAGAAGCGCCATTATCGTGTGCGAAACTGAGTTGGAACTATTACCGGGGCAGCTATTCGCCCGACACTCCCACAGATTCAGGATCTGTTCGGTGGGCGAGGCCTTGGTGGCAAAGTAGGCGATATACCGGTCCGTATTCAGCTTCTTGGCCAGCAATCGCCAGTCCCGCTCGTCTGCCCGCGGGGGATCCAAGGCGGCACAGATCAGACGCTTGGTGGCATGCGGCAGCTGGACAAAATCCATCACACAGCTCTCGTTCACATAGTTGCCCTGGCGGTCAATGGAGATGGTTGTGTTCGTCGTGGAGGCCAGCTCCTCCGCCGAGCCGCTCATCGAGTGGGCTGGAATGTTGAAGGTATAGTAGTCATCCTCGCTCCCCTGCCCGAAATCTACGCAGAGGGTGTTCTGATCCTGTCTCCTCAGGCTAAACTCGCAGTGCAGGATGGAGTTGTTGCTGAGGATGTGCTGGTAGGGTATGGCATGTTCGTAGGGAGCTGCTGCCTCCACATCCGCGCTTCTCACCCGGATGTTGAGATTCCGGCTGTTCAGCGTGAAGGCAAACACCTGGCTCTCGCCGAGGAAGCTGCCGCCCAGCTTGGCCTCCACATTGGCGCAGATATCCCGGCTATTGGGAAAGTCCTTGACCACGTAGATCCGCAAACTGCAGTTGGCGCTGCTGGGTGGGGTATGTTGACTAAACGCCAACAGCTTCATCTTGATCGAGGGCTGCTGAATCCTAGGTTCCGCCACCACGGTGAAGTGGCCCAGTTGCTCCGTCATGATGAACACATGCGTCGCCTCCAGCTGCACGAACATGGGTGTGTTTATGGTCTCCTCGCCGACGGATACGGCCCGCCTCCAATTGACACTCAGTTCGTCGTGTTCGCTGTCAGCATGGTAGATGTGCACATGCCACTGCTCCGGAGCCACCAGGCAGTGGGGAATCTTCAGGATCACCGGCTTCACGAAGCTGTAGTTTCGTGGGGCACTGTGCACCACACTGCTGCACAGGATGGAGCTTTCGGTGGCACAGGACACACGACTGCACTCGTCACTCAACAGGAGCAGAGATACGTGCTTCTTTAGATGCTTTCCTATGGCGTGTTCCGGCACGAAGAGCAGGAGTTCTCCACCGTAGAGGCGCAGCTGTCCTCCGGCGCTTCCCAGGAGCTCGTAACAACTGCTCTTCGAGGCGTTCAGTATGGACAGCTTGCCGTTCATATCGAAGGTGGAGTTGGCTGTTCAAGAAAAGGATATGTAATTCATATTTAGCTGACTTTTATCAAGTTTACTTACAGGTATCTGCGGTGGAGGATTCCCCCGTTTCGGATAAGTAATCCACGCTCAGATGGTCTATGGGATTGGTGTAACTGAAAGCAAGAAAAATCCAATTTTAATTTAAAGTTAAGGGTTTTCGGTAAACAAGGGAAGATTAAAAAGTTTATGTCTACACATTGTTAAAATACAGCAAAAAGGAGTATGGTGGAAATAACTTCTCTGTAAGTACTCAATATCCGCGACAAGAATATTAAAAAGCTCATAACTATACGCGGTCTTAGGCGAATTTTAATGACTGATGAGTCATATAAAAATGAAAGCCCCTTGTGCTTGACAAGACTTTTAATTTAAGAACACAGAACGAGGAATATTTAAAGATTTTATGAGTTAATATTTAAGTTCCCTTCAAATAGAAGCAATAAAACTTAGGACTTATTAAGATCGAAGTTAGTCTTCAAAAATTAAAGCGGTCCAAAGTTTATGTCGAAAATGTATTGTATTTATGTAAGTACTCTAACCAATTTATGACAAATATCTGAAAAAGGGTTACCATAGGAAAAGATCTATCAGAAAACTAATAATATTTAAGCATCTTTTCCAGTAAAAGTGTTGATATTTAAAGAACTCCTTTCAAATCGTAGATAATCCGTAAATATTAAAATGTTGCCGGGCTTATTTGCTAGTTATAAAGTTTATGGCCAGAGTATTTACAGCGTATTGTACCCAAATCAAGACTCATGAGTATCCAAAGGATAAAAAGGACATATAAAAGGGCAAACTAATAACATTTATGGCTTATTTGTACACTTACTTGGCGGACAGATTGGGCACATCGTAGTGGTGCTCCGTGACGCCTCCACAACCGATGCCCATGCCCATGATGTGCTCGCCGGGCAAATAACGATGTCCGGGATTGACGTAATCGTATCCCATGTTGTTGGCCTCGATGTGCATGCGCATCTCCTTCTTTTCCACAACGCCGGGCATATAATCCGCGTCCATTACTGCAAACGGAGTCGAAATACAAACGGTCAATTGCTGGCGGCGAACGCAACAGCACAAGGACGCAGCGGGAGTCCTTTCAACTCACCTGAGCGGGCCATGTTGTAGTGGGGATTGGTGCGGATGCCACGGCGGGCGCAGCAGATGAGCGCCGTCCCAAAGGCGAAACACACCGCGGTTATGAAGGCCAGTCCCAGATAGAGGGTCCAATCGAAATCTGCAATGGCGAAACGATGCGCACTCATATTAAACTGCTGAATCGGCTGATTATACCCTGTAATCTCACGCAATGGAAGGTGTCTTCGCACTTTCTTTGTTAATTTATTTTAAATCAGGTTCTTTTTAATAAATGTAAGACAGAAAACTATGGCTCCTATTGCTTGTTAAAATTAGTTCTTTATGAAATTATGACTTGTATTTCAAGCACATATTAAATAGCCTATGTTCTTTAATTCATGTCGTTTTATATAGTTGCTTTAAAAATATTACTGTTCTTTGCCAACAAAATATATTCATTCAAATAATGATATCTTTTTGATTTCATTTGATTTATTTTTTCACTTGCAACTACATATTTCCCTTTCTTCCTATGATAGGGACTTAACCACTGGGTATTCCCCAGCTTATCATTGAAAAGGGTCCTTCAAAATCCGTTCACCTTCAACAGAACTGAATGGCAATAAAGCCAGCCTGCCTGCAATTCCAGCCTGCGAGCCAAGATGCTGCCAACGCCACCCCATTCCAATTGCCAATCTTTGTGTGTTTGGGCATTAAAAAAAAGGAGGAAACCATGAGATTTCTGCGTAAATCCGCCACCCTCATGCTTTTCAGGATGCCTGCCAAGCGAAATCCACACATTCATGGACGTTGAGTCAACGTCAACCCGAAACCAAAACCAAAAACGAACCGAACCGAACTGAACTGAACTGAACCAAACCGAACTGAACTTTTCCATAACCAAACAGGCATCCTCTCTCACCCATTGTCATCAATCCCGAGCAGCCATGCGTATCCGTATCTGGCGGAGCAGAGCAGTGTATGTCTGTATTTAATGTTTTATGTTTGTATGCTCATCCCCAGTCCAGCTCCGTCTATTTCGCATTATTATTCGCCGGCGGCCCCCCGTCGCCAGCAGTCAGTTCCCCGACATCCCACACCCCACAATCCATTCCCCATCTGGATGCCCATCTCCATGCCCATCTCCATACCCATGGAATCCTCCCACCCATCGGACGCCCATTGTTGCGCTGGCTGTTTCCGTTGCTGTGATTGTTGTCGTCATTGTTGCTGGCGCTGGCGGTGACTGGTTGGCCAAAAAGGAATCGCTGCAGCGCAAGGAATTACTCTGTATATATTATGATTATTATGCCGTAGTATCCCCGTATAGTCGTACAGTCGGTAGAGCAGGGCTAGAAGTGGGTGGGCGGACGCATTATACAATGTATGAAATGAGCAATTATATTCGCTGTAAATCAGCGGCAGCATCGGAAACAGCAGTAGAAGTAGAAGTTGAAGTCCCAAGCAGCAGCAGCAGCATCAGCATCCCCAACTGGGATAC